GGGATGGGGGGGATAGCTTACCTGCTGCTCCTGCTGGTTCCTCCTCCGCCTGCTCAGTTTGGAGCTCCCCCCCCCACGAGTTTCGCGAGTCTTCTTTCTTGTCTTTCCTAAACATAGTAAATTTGTAATTTTCTTCCTTGGATTTTTCTGCAATCTTTGGGATGGGGGTGGCCCTGGGCTGGTAGAAAAATATCTCCTGTGTGTGCCTGGCCCCAGGCTCTGGATTTTCTGATATGCAGGGGTGCCAGGCCCCGAACTGGAGATATGCCAATGTCCCACCTCCACAAGAGGAGAGGGAAGGGGAAATTCAGGGTCCCTCCTTTTTCCAAAAAGCTGGAAGGAAGGGAGAGAAGGAACTGGAGATGCACCCAAGGATGCCCATCGCTTTGATTGTCCAGAGGTCTGTCCCACTCGCCTACCCCAGAGTTTGCTGCATCTACAACATTTAATGGCTATTTGAATACTGAATGAGCATTTCTGCCTCTTGCCAAAAGACTTACAACAATAGCTGGTGTAGCAATCGAAAGAACTATTGTCCTTTTTTGTGAACTGTATTCATAACAAGTGTCTTTCCTGTTCCTACAGAAGGATCTGTGGAAAATATATCTCCTTTATTATTGAAAACAGCATCAATGATTTCTCTGAAATTATTCCTCTTGGTCCAGTATCAACTTTGCCTCGTTATAGGCTGACTTCATTTATCCACAGTGTGGGCCCAAAGGGGCTGACACGCACATCTTACTGCAGGCTTTCAGAGCAGTAAGCCTTTAATCTTGACTTCAGATATTTTGCCTGCCTTACACATTATTCCTTTCCCACACTCTTCTAAATCGGGTTGGAACATCACTTGTGACATGTGGGGGTGGTGTCCAATTTTTTTAAAAAATAATTTATGCAGTTGCTCTATCACAGCTGTGCAGTAGCGTCCAGCAAGAACCTTCCATTTAAATCCTTGTGGCTTAGGTTCGGCGCATGCATTTTAGCGTTCGTTCATTGAATGAAGGAGAAGAGAAAGGAATGTAGGCAAAGGGGGGAAACCAATGTCGAAGCTGACAAGACTCTTTTTGAAACTGACAAGCAGCTGTGAAGCCCTGTTTTTCATCTAAATATATAAATAAATATTGCTGTGCACTAGGGGATTCTCTGCTGTGTTATTGGCCGCAGTGATAAATGGGAGAGTCACACGATCCGATAATATGGGGTAACACGTTGAGTGTACAGAATGAACAGTAGAACCCATGGACAGTGGCATTGCAAGCTGTGATCTTTGGCAACGTGTGTGTGTGCACACACCTGTGCAAAGTCAGCTGCAACTCCACCATGTTTTCACAGGGCTGCAATTTGTATGGGTGGAGGAATCCTCTGGCAGAAGCTCTGGAGAGCTTTTTTAGTCTTGTGCCACTAAATCAAAAAAATATATTGGGGGTATTTTTGTTGATGCCCCAGTGTAGTTGCAGAATAACACTACTTTCCTGCCCTTCCTTGCAAATTTGCGTGGTTTTCTCTTTGTGATTCTCTAATTTGATCCTGCACACTGGTCATGATCTTGGCAGTTTTCTTTTTCTTTTTAAACCCCCGAAGGGATATTTTTTATTTTGCAATAGACTACAAAACTACAAAGAAAATATTAGGAAGGGAACTACAACTAGGGATAAAGGAAAGATAACCACACTATGCTAAAACCCCAAGAGAAGGAGATCTTTTCCCTGTTAATATGAGTGTTAGAACTATAAGTGTTAAATCACAATATACTTGTAGAGTTCTTGTTTATCTCAGCTTCACTGTTTGTGTGTTAATATGCTAGTTGTTATGAGATAACTTTCTGATCATCTTCTTGTTCTTTGCTTCAAAAGGCCATTTTCCAAGTCCTTCTACCTTTACTTCAGCTTTCTGTATCTAAAATCATATACAACTCTGGCGGGTCTTGCACCCATTTCCGCAGCAGAGTCCTCTTCCGTTCCAGAGGTGGCAGAGTCACTAGATTTCGTTTCTTCCTCTTTGGACTCTTCTTCTGTTCCCAGCTGACGCTGCAAAAACTCTTTGACTTTAAAAGTGGAGTCTATCGTCTCTCTTTTATCGTTGATCTTAAAGATGACACCCTCCGGGACCACCCATCTGTACAATATTCCATTGGTTTGAAGGAAAAAAATTAAATCCTTATAATTTTTCCTCTTTTGTCGAATTTCAAATGGAATGTCCTTTAAAGATCTAATGGTTACATTTCCCATTTTCAGTAGAGTTGCCTATGTCACTTTTAAGATGGCATCTCTGGTCTGTCTTCTTGAGAATCTGACCACTATTTCTCCAGGCAGGCTATTTTTTAGGCAGGCCATTTTTTTAATATAATTGGAGTATGCCCTATAGGCTAGCTCCATTTCTTTTACAAGTTCATCCGCTGTTAAGTCTATTACTGGAGCGATGATCTCGCTAAGCATTTTCCTCAGGTCCTCCTGCTCTGCTTCAGGAACTCCCTGGAACCTGAGAATCATGTTAGCTTTTCCCATCTATAGCTGCAACAAACGATTTTTCTTTGGAAATTTTGCTTCGTTTCCACTTCTCCCATTCTTTTCTTCAATTTCTTGCTTGTGGTGTCTATCTCTTTAATTTTCTCATTTGCCTGCTCAACTTTTTTCTCCGTTTCGTTCAGCTGGAGCTGCTGAGATGCAAAATTCTTGTTCATCTTGGTCAATTGCTGGTTAATACCATCGAGTTGCTCCA